CTTTAGTCTTTGGTTGTGTGCGCTGGAAACAGCCGTGATAAAGCGTTTACGTGCAGTCGAGCTATAACCACACACCCTATGTGTGTGTGTGTGTAATTCCTTTCCTCTATATCTCTTTCTCCCTCTGTCTCTACATCACTCCACCATCACCCTTTCGCCACTGTTTTCTGCGAGTGCTGATTTGTGCACCAGGGGTGTGCGTTTTGGGTACTCGGTCAGTGCATGATTATGGAAAAGATGCTGCAGGACCTGGCCTTTTTCTTCTTCATCTTCGTCTTTCTCGTGAGCTGCTTAGCGGGGTCATTATGGTCGTGAGCGTGTGGATTCAAGCTTGTCTCTTGAATTTTTCACATTATTCGACTCTTCGCGCAGATGAGCTTTTTTGTAGGTCTTCCCTCGCTTGTCTAGAGATGTTTTTCTCTTTACCTGATGCGAGATACTGTATTAGCTCTTGTGGATTTTTGTAAGTTGGGTTGATTGCGATTTTGGTTGGGTTCTGATAAGGCTCGTTAATTTTTAGACTTGGAAGAATGTAGAAATATAAATCAAGAGACCAAAGGAGATTTTAATCCAATAATCATTAATGAAGCATTGCGGACTGAACAGAAAATGGTAAATAGATCATGTGAGCTGTTTCTTTTTTCTGTTCGGCTGAAGATAAGTATACGATCCTTTCTATATGCAACTGTGAAAAAAAAAAAAAAAAATTATTGGCTGGAGATGCTTGGTCTGTAAATTACAATCCCATATTGCCAAATGAGTATAGTTTAATCCAAACAGATCAGTGGACAGATTGTAGACGAAATGTCAATTTCTGGTCAAATTTAGTTGGGTAATTTCCAGACAAGTTTAGATACAAGCAAGAATTTACTAGTCCAAAAATATAAAACCGTAATCAAGATACTCACATTAAATCTCTGATTCAAATTCATCATCTGTATGACAAATAAAAACAAAATACATCTTCTTACGATTTCTTCCAATCATTGTCACAAGTTATCGAACGAAGCCTGCTACCATTCCCTCGACGTACCACGACAGATTAAACTCAACCTGTGAACCCTTTTTAGCTACTTGATTCTCTTTTCTCATTTGAGCCACAGCGCACATACTTGAGCACTCGGATAACTTTCTTCTCTCCTTCTCTTTACCATGCGCTCACGAGAGACATACATACGACGCTCACTGGCGCACACTCAAACTGATTGGAAGGAAGTAGAAAATCCTCACCCACGTACACTAAAACGCGAGCAAAAAGTGGGACTAGCAACTACGTCGTATATACACGGGCAGCTAATACACTTTCCTGCTTTACTGAAAGTACCGGCAATGAAATTTTTGTTTTTTTACTCTTCCGTCTTCTCTTCCCTGGCTTTGCCCTGGAATTGATCTATTTTTATGTAGTGCTATGGATTGGAAAACCTTGCGATTTGCTGTTCAAAGTTTTTCGCAGATAACTTTATATAAAATTTACCTTACACTCTTCGCTTTTATGCTTTACTTTTTTCACTGAATGAATGTGGCTTAAAACCTTGGTATCGGATGATATTACTCGAAAGAGCTCATTGTCCAATTGTGTTGAACGTCTTTGACAACCCTATTTGGTACCCCAATGATTTTAGTATTGGTTACCTGTACACCACTATCACCACCACGTTTTACCAAAGCTCCACGGAAAGAAACTATTTAACGCGTCCCAAAACATCACGAGTAGAAAAATGAAAAAAAAAAAAAAAAAAAAAAAAAAAAAAAAAAAAAAAAAAAAAAACCGACTGGTTGTTAAACCACTCCGGAGACCGCGGTGAGGGTCTAGAATTACATTTGTCAGTGAAACCACAAAACAAACCGAACCCCCGAGCCCGAATTTCATAAAGCGAAGAATATGGTGTACATGGCAGCGTATAGCTCAGGCAAGGGAAGAGCGAGCGTGCAAAAGGGCAGCCGGAGAAATTGATCGCGAGCTGCGGTGGGACCACGGCTGGCGCACGAAATAGGAGAAAAAGAAGGGAAAAAGAACGAGCGCGTGGAGAAGAAACGAGTGAGACTCTCGAACTAGTACACAAAAAAAAACGAGTGGAGAGAGAGAGAGAGAAATACATGGGGAGGGAAGCGATATGGATGTGTGTGTGTGTGTGTGTATGCAGAGGGAGCGGATAAAAACGTCACTTTGGGTATACGTGCGTAAGAAAGCTGTGGGAGGGAGGGAGGATAGATCGTGGTTCTTGAGAAGGGTCGCTTTAAAAACAACCTCTGGCTTGCACGCGGGAGTCGACTGTCCGGCCGGCGCCATACGGACGCCGACGCTATTCACGTGTATATATGTATACGCGCCCAGAGTCTAGTCGGGGAGGAATTTTTATTATTTCTCCCACTCTGCTGTAAGATAAATATGAAAAAAAAGAGTGAAGTGAAAATTAAGCGACAGTGGCCAGTCATTCTGGTGAAACTGACGATGAAAAGGTGTGTGTGAATTGATTCGTGACTGGGCTGTTAGTTACTGGACGTAGAGAGTTTTATGGGGCTAGACACGATTTTAATGTGGAGTAACCAGTCAAGGAACATGTTGGTTTGTTTAGGAATCATGATTCTGCGTTTAAGAAGTGTTTCCATGCCATATACACTTAAATTTCCAAGGAATGTTGTGAAAATACAGACGCATAAATATGGAAAATTTAGATTTAATGAAAATAAAAACAAAGTGAAAAAGCATGCAACAATATGAGTACATCTTCTATGGACTGGTAATAGACAACACCATAGAATATCCAACTCCCGATGATAGACATCAATGGGAAACAAAAGATTCAGAGTGGTATTATCCACTTTAGAGTTTAGTGTGCGTTGAATCCTGGTCAACTATTTGTTGACACCTAAAGCTTTTTCAAAGTTCGAACAAAATACCCGTGGGAATTCAAAATTTGATAGGGGAGTGAAAAAAAGTTCCCCATTGGAAAGTATCACCTAAAGGTCTCGCCCGTCAAACGATGTAATAAGCTCGAGCTGATGCAGTGAATGTAAAATAAAGTAAGCTCGGGGAATAAACCCTCGCGCGTCAAACGCACCTAACATCACCCATGCGAGCAAAAGCACGGAACGAAGGAAATGAAGCTGCACCTTCGAGAGCGCAGTAACGGCGCCCAGTCTACCGAGTCCAATTAGTCCAGGGGCCCATAATTGGGGGCTCCCTCAATTAATAGTTAATCAGCCCGTGCGCACGCGCCTGCGTACTCCTCTTTTTTATTTCTCTCAAGCGTTCATCGCCTCTACACGAAAGGGTCGTGAAACGTATATACAACTCGCGAGTGCACGCGACATTGGGAAAGTTCAAAAGCGGACCACGTACATGGCAATGGATTTGCTTGTCTAATTTAAAATCGCATTCAACTGCCGTCCCCGTGACGGATTATGTTATAATTAATCGTGGGATTCCGGCCTGTTTTTTTTTCCCCCTCGACCCGCTGTTTGTGCCATGCACAGGTGCGCGCCGCCGAGCGTGCGGTTCGGAAAATTAGTTTGTTCCGTTTGGCGGAGGGAAATTGGTAGTGCAGTAATTAAAATTTCACGCCCCTGCGATGATTAGTCCGCCAAGCGGGACGCCCTCTCCTCTTCGCATCGGACGTGTACATTTTTTTTTTTTTTCGTACGTGGAGGTGGAATTATTTGAGTTTTAAATTTCTTTTTTCTCACTTGATAAAACATTGCGATGAATGTGTCTGTGTGAACTTTTAACGAGTTTACGCGAACTTAATTAAAAATTGTTTTGTCGTTGTGACTGAATTGAATTTGGAATTGTCATAGTGCCATTGAACCTACATCCGTATATGCAATCCGTTCCCCAGATTCGCAGGTACATCGCATTGGATAACTCAATACGATCGAACCATCGCCTCCTCAACCAATCAAAGCTCCATTGTGATACGCGCCGTCCCTCCGAACCATCTGAATTTCCAAGTGGAGGGGGAGAGGGCACCCGAGCCTCCTCTTGGTATAATTAAAATTTTGTCTCGCGCGCAATGCACAGGAACTGCCTATACTGGCGCGACGACTGTGCTTGTGTGTCTAACGAGTAATATAATATTCAGCCAGCGCTCGCGTTATTTTTCCGCTGCGCGCGCTCGCGGATAATTATCAATTACGCGCCTGGTGCGTGTGGGTGTATAATGCGAGCTCGAGTGCACGCTTGCCTCGAGTTTAACGAGGGCCGATGGGAACAACTTTTTTTTTTTTTTTTTTTTTTAGGGGAAAAGCAGCTGGTTGATTGTTTAAATTTTTGGTTTTGATGGTTGTTTTTTAACAACTGGTCGAAAATGGTTTGCTATTTGGAAGGGAATGTTGGCTGCGAGTTTCTTAGCGTTTGGTCATTAGGTGTTTGAGATGTGTATGGCGATGGTTGAGTGCTTTATGAGATTTTATTACTTCCCGAGAGATTGATTTGATCATTTGTTTCGTTGGATTATTATAAACAAATGTTTGTCGATATTATAAAAGAAAAGTTATTCATCATCGGAAGTAGTTACAGAAAACTTTTTTTTTTTATCGTAACTTCATTAGAATCTGATGTATCTTATTTTATGTTTCACTTCATGACGAGGTAAACTGTAATGAAGTACAGAAGAGCCACAAAACTATAATTATGCCAACTGACAATTAAATAAATGCACTGTAATATGAATTACATTACTGATTCTTTAATTCTGATATTATCTACATGAAGTGATATCGGTTTCGATTTACGACAAATAATGAACAAAAATTATTTCATTCAACCGTAGAAGTAAAAATTTAGCTCTTCTCAATAATTTAACTCAAGAAATTTCTAACGTTACCGTCATAATTTTCAACTCATGAGTTGAGCAACGAAAAATTGACATATTATTTGCATGTGAAATTGTATAATGATTAAAAAAAAATCCATAAATTGTAAACTCCATATTTATCATGTTAAAAGTACAAAATCATTTGTATAAACACTGTTCTGATTTCAGTTTCTTATTTTTCAGCAGTCGGTGGCTCGGCGGTCATGGACTCGGTCAAAGACTACGCCAACAGCTCTATGGACCTACAGCCGTACAACAAAAAGAAAAAGAAGAAGCGCCGACATAGGTGAGTCTCTGATCGAAACTCTCAATTAGATAAGATAAATAATTTAACCTCTCATCGCAACGTTTCCACTTGCATGATTCGACACGACTAATTCCCGTTGAAATTAACTTCTCGACACTCTGACGAAAAAAAAAAAAAAATAGTAAAAAGACAGTTAGCAATGACTCGCCAGGTCTCAAAATCAGCAAGTAGCTAGCGTGCAAAAGCTCGTTCCAACCATCACCATCCCGATATCTTACGAATAAACTCCGTTAGGAATTAACCCTCCCTCGCCCCCCACCCCGAAATAAACTTGAATAAACGCACGTCTCGTCAGCCATTTTAAAAAGAAATTTCAAGCCAACGATGCAGAGTCCTTTTATCTCTGGGCATATATTATACGTACGCATCGGGCGCTCGGGGTTTTTCTCCACTGCGTCTTTTGATCCGATGATACTCCACATTATTCCGCTCGAAGGAGGATCATGAAGAGCCAAAGCGTACACGCGTACCTTGGAATCAGAGGCTGGCTTTTCTGGCAAACTTTTCCTTAATTATCAAAAGAGCCCAAGTACATGCAAACACACTTTCTCTCTCTCTCTGTGTGTATGTGTATATATGTATGCTCGTGTCAATGTATGGCTATTGATTTTTTCCTCTCGTGCCCGCAGAGTCGCGCGATGACGACGATGACGCGTCTTCGTCGCGCCCTTCCCTTTCACGGTGGGATGAAAAAGCTTACGTAGCCACGTGCACTTTTATTGGTAATTATACATGCTTGCAAAAGAAGAGGAGCTTCTTCCTGGTTTTCTTTATCCGTGAAGTGTCGTGAGTTTTCTATTCAAGTTTTTGAAGAATAATTAGGTACCGGTTGCCTGCTCTCGCAGTACAGTCCCCGTACAGAGTATAGTGAAAGAGCTTCGATGTCTGACTGGCTTAACACAAATACGATTCCTGGAGAAATTACTCTCTTAATTTTTATTTTTTAGGATTCCAAAGATCTTTCTTTTCCCGTGTTTTTTGCAAAGTAAGCCTCTAATGAATTTCAGATTGAATAATTCTTCACTGCATCCAACCCGGTAGTTAACATAAAAAAATAACGGTGTTGTCTCTTATTCCACCACCTTCTCGTTACCAACATTTAACGCTTCTCGCGTAAATCCGTTGAAAATAACACGTCCGGCCTAAACGCCAAAACGGTTTCTTTCACCGCTCGTCAGCCGGCTTAATGAGACACGCCGATGAGCGCGCCCCCGGTAAGTGACTTTCAATTTCTCTCTCTCCCTCTCTCTCTCTCTCTCATGATTTCGCGCTCGACAGGTGGTGTCCGCGGGGAACCGGTAATTTCACCTCTGAAGAGCGCGATGACGATTGGACGTGTCTTCTCGAGCACCTTTATTTTATTATTTCAACTTTTCTCTTGTGACGATTTTTGGCTGTTTTGAGGATCCACAATTTTCTCCACTGACTTGCTATTTATTATTTTTTCGCCTGAATTTTGTACGCACTACGGGTTGATGCTACCAGATGTGTAGCTTTGGAAACATTAAAAACTCGACACCGATAAAAAAAAAAAAAAAAAGATTAAAGACTTTTTTATTACAATTGAATCGAGAGATGATATAAATAGAAGGACAGAGACAAATCCATCGATGGAACAGATGCGTTTGAAAATCGAAACTACTTATTGAATCGCAGCCACGGTATGGGGGAACTTAAGGCTTGGAGGGGGGGCAGGAAACGCCGGGAAGGGGTTAGCGTTGGGAAAAGGGGAATGTATGAATGTATAAATATGTATGTGTGTATATACACTTATTGCGTTAGGGAGTTAGATTTAGGGGACGAGTTGTAATGGCATATAACTAGGTTCATGTGGTTGTTGCTCCAGGACGATTTTCACGACCAAGCAGCTGGAGGAGCTCGAGACGGCGTTCAAGGAGGCGCACTATCCGGACGTTTACGCTCGCGAGATGCTCAGCGCGAGGACGGATCTGCCCGAGGACAGGATACAGGTGAGAGATTCGCATTTTTATTTGCTTTCCTATCCATCTGGTTTTTTTTTTTTTTTTTTTTTTTTTTTTTTTTTTTTTTTTTTTTTTTTTTTTTTNTACTTTTTTTTGCTCTACAAGTGTAAGTTTGGGATTTTAAGGGAGAGCTATGTGTATTTATGTGTTTTTCTTAATGTAATTCATCAATACTATGCATACACGTATGATTTTTAATAATTTATCCTGATACAGAAATGATAAAGCACCGCAAAATGCATGTTTTATCGATGTCTGACTATTCGTTGATTATACTACTGATTTTTAATAAAATAACATTTTACATCGTCTTATTTGATTTAAAATTTTTACATGAGAAAATTAAATAAAAAATTACGATAAATTGTCCTGATACGAGTATAGAAGTAGAGTGTACTCTGAGGTAAACGTCAAATTCACCATATTTAAGGCGTAGCTGTTGAAAAGTGCAAGATTTTTCGAATTTTTTTTTCCTGACTTTTCACGATGTAGTTACTTCAAACTACTTAAAACTTTTTTAATTACATGAGATTTCTTAAGCTCTTACAAACTCTACAATTGCGTGAGTTACTCTAAATATACATGGATGGATAATATTATAGTAATAATTTTTTCATGTAAGAAAACGAAATAACGTAAAAATGACAATAGGTCGTAAGTCATGAAAACATCGAGTTAGCATTTTTTTTTTTTTAATCTTCACAATAATTGTAACGAAGCCTTTTCAAAAATATTCTTCAAGTAGTAGAAATGTAAATAGCATACCAATTATCTGTTTTCGCTAAAACACTCGCATACCACACTGACAATGGTACACACCATGCAGAGTAATGAATCATGCTCTGATAAATTAAAATACACTCGCATTGTCGAGCGACACGGAGTTTCGAGTGAATCGCGTAATTTATTCCTCAACAACGACTGTAAGAAAAAAAAAAAAAAAAAAAAAAAAGAGAGAGACAGAGATAAAGCTTCTTTAGAGAGAAAATCCACCAAAAAGTCTCACATTCGCCTCCCCGAGTCGCGATCATTACGAAAAATAAGGAAAAAAAGCCCAAAAGTGGAGACACGAAGCCAGTATACACCCCATCTTAATTTTCTTCAACGGCACTTTTGCCACACTAATTAAAACGCACGTAACGCACACTTGCCTACCTCCTCCCTCGCATCTCCGCAAGTCTCAAATTCACCGTCATATTACCCACTCCCCTATTCCTTTCACTCTCTCTCTAGTTTTAATCCTACTTGGCTTGTAATTCTAGAAGTGCGTAATTTCATCAACCCTAACATTTATTCCAGATGTATATTTCGTTAAAATAAGTTTTAATAACGTATCGTTTTCATTTTTATGCACTTCAAAATTAGTTTTCGGACAAAATACATCCATAGTATCCCCCTTGCATTAGCTCGATTGAGTAATATACTTAAGCCAAAAAAAAAAAGAGACAAAAATAGATAGAAAAGCCCCGTCTTGTGTAAACAAAAAAGTAGAGTGGTCTCTGAGGCAAACGCAGACGCAGTGAAAGGAAACGCAAATATAAGGAGGCGGATGATTATGCTCCTCGATGTACGATCGCGGGCTCGCACACTGTTGTACTCGAAGACGTAGGTAGTTTTTCGTGCAAACGTATGAACGCAAGTACGAAATGGAGAGGGAAGCCGACAAAAAAAAGAGGGAGAGAGCGCGAGCTCGGAAACAAGGATGAAAGCACATAGGTGTGTATATATATATATATATATTTCCAATCATTG